AGAACCCTCAGCGCCAGCTCCTCCAGGACCAGCTCCACCAACAGCAGCACCCCCAGAACCGGCACCTCCAGTCCCAGGGTCTCCAGCCTCAGTGCCTCCAGCAGCAGCACCCTCAGGCTCAGCACCTCCAGCCCCAGCAGCTCCAGTACCTCCAGTACGAGCACCTCCGGGACCAGCACCACTCCCAGCTCCAGTGACTTCAGCAGAAGTACCTCCAGCGGCAGAGCCCCGAACTCCAGAAGCGCGACCCTGACGGCGACCGTACCAGTCGTGCAGCTGCTGCGAGGTGAGAGGCACACGCGGACGAAGGCGGCTACTCCAAGGAAACCGCGCAACAGCAGACTCAGAACCCTCAGCGCCAGCACCCGCAGCAGCTCCAGAACCTCCAGCGCGAGCACCCTCAGCAGCTCCAGAACCTCCAGCTCCAGCGCCACCAGCGCCAGTACCTCCAGCAGCTCCAGGACCTCCAGCGCCAGCACCCTCAGCAGCTCCAGAACCTCCAGGTCCAGCGCCACCAGCGCCAGCACCTCCAGCAGCTCCAGAACCTCCAGCTCCAGCACCCTCAGCAGCTCCAGAACCTCTAGCAGAAACAACTCCAGTGGCAGAGTCACCAGCTCCAGCGCCTCCCGCAGCAGGGCCCCTAGCTCCAGCAGCGGGACCCTGACGGCCAGCGTACCACTCAAGCAGCTGCTGTGGGGAGAGAGGGAGTCGACGACGAGAGTGCAGCGGCGAGGCACCAGCGGAGCGACTACGGAGACGGTCGCCCCAGGGAGACTGCTCACCTGACACCTCAGCGCCCCCAGGCTCAGCACCCCCAGACTCCTCACACCCAGGCTCAGCACCTCCAGTCTCCGCACCCCCAGGCTCCGCACCTCCAGGCTCCGCACCCCCACGCTCCGCACCTCCAGGCTCCGCACCCCCAGGCTCAGCACCCCCAGGCTCAGCACCCCCAGGCTCCGCACCCCCAGGCTCAGCACCCCCAGAAGCAGCAACCCGAGCAGGACCACCCTCAGCAGGACCTGAGTCACCAGTGACCTCAACCGGCTCAGTCAAGGGAGGAGGGTCTACCTGAGACACACCTGAAGGAGCAGGACCGGGAGCAGGGAGGGGGTCTACCCGGGGAGCACCTGGAGCGAGGAAGAGCGGCGGGGGGGGGAGAGGGGCAGTGCGGTAGGGGAAGAGGCGGTAGAAGGGAACCGACTCGTCAAACGTGACGTCCTGAGAGGGGAAGACACGACGCGAGGTGGGGTGGTAAAACTGCCAACCAGGCGCGTCAGGGACAAAGCCAAGGAAGACACAGGGAACAGCGCGGGCGGAGAGCTTGTCCGCGGTGGTATCGCGGACAAAGGCACGAGCACCCCAGACCCGGAAACGCGACGCATCGCCAACCTTCCCCGTCCACAGCAGTGTGGGCGAGGTCTCCGGCAAGGAGACAAGGGGCCAGAGGTTGAGCTGATGCGCAGCGTACCGGACCGCAAACGGCCACAGAAAATGGGGGGCAGCCGCATGGATCATGGAGGTACGAGCGACCTCCATGACTAAGCCAATGCGGCGCTCAGCAACCCCATTCTGCTGCGGAGAGGCCGGAAGCGTGAACGTCTGGCGGATGCCGTGCTCCGCACAGTAGGCTGCCAAGAGGTCTGAGGAGAACTCACCACCTCTGTCAGAGTGCAGACGCAGGACAGGAAAGTCTGACTGGAACCGCTCGCGGAGCTGGAGACGAACAGCGCGGATCCAGGGGATCAAAACATCAGGGACCTCCCCCTTGCTGCGCAAGGGGAAGACCGTGGTGTAACGCGTGTAGTCGTCGACGACCAGCAGGAAGTACCGCTCGTGGCCCTGTCCACGGACGCGGGCTGGGCCCCACACGTCCAGGTGGAGAGTCTGAAGGGGAGCCTCTGTGGGAGGGAACGAGGAGGAGTGAGGAGCGGCGCGCTGCCGCCCCTCGACACAGGGAAGACAGGGAGGAGCAGGCGAGGGTGGTAGAGGAGGCAGAGTCTCTGGAAGTCCAGAGACAAGGAAACGTCGGTGCATGCTACGAAGGCGCTGCACCGAGGGGTGACCAAGGCGGTGGTGCCAAAGGAGGGTCTGGTGCGACAAAGCGCGACACAAGCAGGGGGCCGCTAGCTGACCTGACGCAAACGCAGACGCAGACGCAGCTACCTGAGGGGACACAGTAGTCAGTGTGTACAGACTCGAGCCAGGCGCTCGGGTGAACGTGGCCAGGTGCCGGCCAGTCTGGGAGCACGTACAGTGGGTCACACGCTGACCTCCAGGGGTGAACTGGTCAACCCACACATCCTGTAGGTCAGCTCCACTCACCAAGTTCATAGAGAACGAGGGGAGGTGAAGACGTGACAGGGAGCCAGACGGGACCGCCGGACACGGCAGGACCGTGGAGGAGTGCGCAAGGACTGGGCCCCCAGAGGGGTCTGCCAGGGAGACTGCAACCGGCCGACGGAGCGGCGTGAGGGTGGTGCTGTCGCGAAAGAAGGAGCGGGAAGCACCTGAGTCAAGTGTGAAGGTGTACAAGGCCTCAGCAGGCGCAGTACCAGAGAGAGCAGACTCACCAGTACCTGGAGCAGTAGCCTCACCAGTACCTAGAGCAGGAGACGCACTAGCACCTAGAGCAGCAGCCTCACCAGCACCTAGAGCAGCAGGCTCTATACCTAGGTCAGGCGGTACGCACAGGGAACAGGCACGGTCAGCACTAGTAGGCAATGCATACATGGCAGTGAGAATAGCATCATAGTCAAGAGCAAAGATATCTACCCTCTGCCCAAGCAGCTCCAGCCAGGTGGGGAGCTCAGCCTCGTCGCCAAACTCGGTACGCCAGGCGTCGCTCAGACGGGCGAAGCAGCGGGACTGTGTGTGACCAAGTGTCCCGCAAGTCTGACCGGCCCGATCACCTGTGCGAATGACGTACGGGCAGCGAACGGTACTCAAAGACCCTCTACTCTGAGCGTACCACTCGTGAAGCTGCTGGGACGTAAGTGTCTCGCGTGGACGCCGCTGCAGCTGCAGCTGGCCACTGCCAGACGCTCCCAACTGACCAGCTCCAGGGTGACAGCTACGACGGCGACCGCCACAACCCCAACTAGCGTACCACTCACTAAGCTGCTGAGGCGTGAGAGACTCGCGTGAACGTCGCTGGAGCTGCATCTGGCCACTGCCAGTAGTAGTAGTAGCAGCAGCAGCAGCAGCAGCAGCAGCAGCAGCAGCAGCAGCAGCAGCAGCAGCAGCAGCAGCCTAGCAGTAGTAGTAGCGCGGGCAGGGCAGGCGCGGCAGGCAGGCAGGCAGGCAGGCGTGGCAGGCAGGCAGGCAGGCAGGTAGGTGCTCACCAGTGGCGAGAAGGGCAGGCGCACGACGGCGGCGACGGCGGGGCCGCGACAGCTGCGGCAGAGCAGGACCGCGTCGGAGGTAGGGCAGGTCCGCGACAGCTGCTGCAGGGCGGGGACGTGACGGCGGCAGAAGGCTCCGCGGCAGCTGCTGCAGGGCAGGGCCGCGACGGCGGCAGAAGGCTCCGCGGCAGCTGCTGCAGGGCGGGGCCGCGATTGCGGCAGGGCGCTCCGCGGCAGCTGCTGCAGGAGCGACGGCGGCGTCCAGGGGCAACCGCGGCGCGCGGGGCTGCAGCGCGCTACACGAGCTCCGGACGCGGCGCGCGAAGCCGCCGCGGGCTGCGCGAGGACGGCAGTCGCGGCGCGCGGGGCTGCAGCGCGACGCGCGGGCAGCGAACGCGACGCGCGGGGCTGCAGCGCGACGCGCGGGCAGCGGACGCGACGCGCGGGGCTGCAGCGCGACGCGCGGGCTGTGGGCGCGACGCGTGGGGCAGCGACCTGGCCTGGGGCGTCTGCAGGGGCGGCTCGCGGGCCTGACGTGTCTGCAGGGGCGGCGCGTGGGCCTTACGGGCCTGCAGGGGCGGCGCTCTGGCCTAGGGCAGCAGTAGGCAGCACGAGGGCTGCAGGACGGCGCGCGCAGCGCAGCACGTCACAAGGCAAGGCAGGCAGGCACAGGACAACACGTGGGGTAGCGCGGTAACCGCAACGGTAGGTGGGCCCGAAAAAAAACGGTCCTACGGACCTAGTGCTCTGAAACCATGTCAGAATCTAGTAGCAGGGATGAATGAACTATGAAAGAGTTGGGTACAAGTATGAAACCCTAAAAGGGGCTGTACCCCATATTGGCTACCCCACTACAGCCTACACATATATAACATGCATATACTTTGACAATTTTGGTCATTCTCCTCCTGTGCTCCTGCTCTCAATTTGTTGTCACTGGTCTGCTGCTAACCTAGTTCCTTACCATCATCATCCCCATCTCTTTCCATCTTTTTTTCCATGTGCAGGATCATGCTTCCTGCTACAAGAGTCCTACTGTTATCAACCTACCTAAACAGATTGTCTTGCTAGTTGTGGCAGTAAAGGGTGGCATGGCAAATCATTTCACCGTCTAGTAACACTGAGTGCCGACATTGGTACATACAAATGTGCTGACTACACTTATGTATTTCCTATTGTCAGATTCATTCGGTTGGAATTTGATACCTGGCTGTCAGGAACCAACCAAAGGTTTCACACTGGCCATAAAGCTAATCCATGGTCAGATATGTACCATAGTAACAGAATGCCAGCATCTAAATTGCTGTTTCTAGTTTCCAAACTGAGCATAGGTACAAGTTCCTTGCCATGATGCCCGGCATGTACAACACAACTGTAGTTGAACTGAACTATCATTACGCAACAATGGCTATAATAAATAGAACATAAAACTATTGTACAGATCTACAACTAGCAGTTACCCTTTTAGGTAATGTCCCTACAGCATCCCTTAGGGCCTCCATGGAGGCCTTATTGCCGCTACCCTTGCCATCCTTGAAGCACCTCTGCAAGCTCCTAATCTCCTGCATACGATTTTTTCCTGCTGCCTCTTTCTCAGTGCTGCCAATGCTGAGCCTTCCATGAGAGCTCCACCAGGAAGAACAACCAGCGTGCATGAAGCTACTCCCCTCGCTCCAGATCCCACCCCTGCAACTCTTCCCTGCTGCTTCTTTCTTGGTGCTGCTGATGCTGAACCTTCCCTGAGAGCTCCAGCAGGAAGAGAAACCAACGCTCTAGACGCCACTTTCCCCATTCCGGAACTCGCACCTCCAAACCGACCCTCCTGCCTCCTACTCTGTGCTGCTGCTGAACCTTCCGTGAAACACCCACCAGGAAGAGTAACCATTGCAGTTGAAGGTACCTTTCTTGCTCCAACCAAAACCTGCCTCCTCTCACTTTGTGGTGCTTCTGATCCCTCCTCTGTCGTTTCTCCACACATCACACCTCCAATCGGGTCCTGCTGCATCGTGCTTTCCGCTGCTGCTGCTGACCCATCCCCACCCTTGAAGCCTTCAACAGAATCAGTCAAGGTTGCTGTCTCCACAGAAACCGCTGCTCCTGCTGCTCGTGTGCTGCCAGGTTTGGGAATCCGAGACGGTAGCAGCTTGCAAATGGCTGCAGGCGGCCTCGTAACCAAGCCCTGAGCTGTGCTTGCGTCACTTAAGAGAATCCTCAAAAGTGACACAAACACTCCCATCCTTGATGCAAGATCCGAAGAAGAGACCACCTTCGTGCTCACTAGAGAAGAGCTCAGCAGCAGAAGAAGGTTTAGCAGCAACGACTCGATCCAGCCATTGACGCAGTTGAGCCTGTAGTCACGGCAGCAGAGGCTGTTGACAGCAATGGCAGTGGAAGGCTCCTCCTTGGAGCTCTGGCCGCTGCAGCTGCTGTCGCTGAAGCCACTGCTGGTATTGGACGTTTCAGAACCGAAGAACTTGGCATCAGTGCTGCAGATGCTGCTCAGATCCGAGTCATCCTCCGAGCCATCGCCCTCTGCAGCCATAAACAGCAAGTACGTCGCCTCTGCAACCTCTGCTTCAGCTTGAAACACTTCTTGGTCCTCATAATCCGTGCTCCACGAGTCCGCCTCCTCTGCAACCTGTGCTTCAGCTTGATGCTCTTCCTGGTCCGCATGAGACGTGCTCCACGAGTCCGCCTCATCGACAACCGGATAGTGAGCTGGGGAGAAGAACAGAGCACGACGCTGCTCCTGCACCTTTGCAGCCCGATTCCTCCAAAGGCTAAAGATTTCAGCGATCGTAGGGTACTCTGCAGATGCAGGGATCGGAGAATAACGCTTCATCTGCAGCAGCACACCACATTTCTCCCAGAAGGCCACAGCCTCAGCATACGAGGGATAGTCAGAAGAATAAGCCATCAGGCTACGGGAGTGTGAGAGTGGGAAGAAGCAAAGAAAAATGGAACACTAAGAGCGTCGAGCTACCGCGGGAACGAGATAAAGAACGGAATAATGCGAGAGCTCTGACCAAATGCTGGACAACTGATTAACCAAGAGACTGGTAAGAAACTGGCTTTGAGATGATTGTGAAAATGAGACTAGAGGACTATAAGACGAGGCGAGGGGACCAACAGAGCAGAGAGAGGGGTGGAGGTTGTGTGGAGCAACACTCACAGGAGGGAGGAACGAGAAGGGAGAGAAGTTTTCTCAGATTCTGCCCGAGCAGCTAAAAAAAATCGGATTTTTGCGATGGTATGGTGCACTGCGCGAAATCTACTGAAACCGCAAAAACGGGAACTCTGGTTTTGCTGGTGACGCGATTCTCGCAGAGGGTCCTCCTGAGGAAGCGACGCGAAAGGATCTGACGTTCGCTACCCCCGATCCTATCGTGTCTCCTGGGCCCGACAAAACGTCTTCCGCTGCGCGCTAGCGGATATCCTTTCCTACGAACTCGACGGCATGAAGTAATAAATTTCGCCTGCCCGACCGCTCTCGGATCGCCGACGAATATCTGGCGCACCGCCATTCCCGAAAATGCCTAAGGCTGTCAGCGCTGTGGCCCCCGCGACTGAAGGAAGGGAGGTTCGGACGATAATTTCCGAGCCTGAGAGTTGCGGAGAAATCGAGGTCAAAATGGTGAATCTGTATACTCCCTAGAGGGCTCCACGTCTTGAACTGATATTCAGCTTTCTTTACTTACGTGCTATTCTATATTGAGGAGAATATGCAAATAATTCATTTTCAGTGTGTTTAAAATTATTGTCGGAAGAAATTGTACAATCTGAGTGTAATTTCTCATCTGAGAATCGAAGAACGTAATTATACTCGCCAAACAGCAGAATTGAGAGGCAATGGTAGAAGTCATTGTAAAAATAAGCAGGGCTGCACCAAAAGGATTGCTCACTGTATGGTGGAAAACAATAAGACCTCTCCTTACGGTTTGCTAAATGCCTGTATGGTATGGTATGCTACGTGAGAAGTTCTACTTTCTTCCTAAGCAGGGAGACTGAACCACTGTGTGCATAAGTATTTCTCTCCCCTCTTGACTGGTAACCCTGCATGCTTGGACCTACTATCCTCAATGCCTTGATCTGTCAAATGTGTATACCAGAGAATAGCTTTCCCTCTCTCTGGCTTCACCTGCAGAGAGAAAAAAGCGTGGATTGTTAATTATCAGACAAAGAAGCACCTTCACTCATTTCATCCTCAACTGCCACCCACCCCATCCCTCTCCTCCTTCAACCATCCCCTCGTCTCTCTCCAATCCCTCTCTCCGATCCCTCTCCCCTCTCCCCTCTCCGTGGTCACAATCCCATCAATAGCAGAACGTACCTTGATGCCTACGTTTGGAAAGTACGTCTCTCCACCCTCGAAGCCATCATTCAGATACACAAGGAAAGTCCCACGAGCTTCAAGCGTGCCATCTGGCAGCATGCGGCCGTCATAATGAGCCTTGTACTCCTGGCCCACGTCGTATTTCACCAGCTGGAGCTCTGACGTGGCAAGCCGTTCAAAATCTACGATTCCCGTTATGAGCTTTGCACATCCTCGGATCTTCATGCACACCTTACCAGCAGCACTCAAGTCTTTGGAGGGGTCAATCCAAGTAGTGCTGCAAGGCGAGGGTATGACATAAGAAGGAAGATTCTGAGGAACACAACAGCAAAACAAGAGAGAAACGCGGAAACATGATATACGAACCTGCTGGTTCGATAGTCGCTCAATCCACTATCCCCTTTGTTTGCTTTCTGCGAAGATAACATAGGCCGGATTCAGCCGACTGAAGCAGGGAATTGCAGAATATAACCTGGAACCCTACACGACATTCGGCTCCACTACATGGCAATATAAGCGGGAATCAGTGCTGACCTGGACTCGGCTCCGCTGCCATCGGCCGCTTCCTGATTCGATCAAGATTCTGCACTCTTCTTCCGACAGTAATCCAGGAAATTCCCACACTCGGAATTCTGTATCTACGGTCGAGAAGTTGAATCTTGGAGAATCTGTCGGAACAATACTCTTCTTGTCGATCTCGCTACTCGTGGGTTCACATGGAGCATTCCTTTCAGAATCTCCAGCAGCGGTACTTTCAGATGCTTCACAATGACTCGAATAGCTCGCAGGCCTGTGCGAATCGACGGATACCCTTCGAGTTGAGCTCATGCGATGGCCCATTATCAAAACCTGCAACCACTAACCCTTCCAAAACGCTGGTGTATTGAACCTCTGGAAAGAACAACCCACTGCCGTGAAGGGGACATCTTACTCCGAAAATACCTCCCCAGCGATCGTGACTGCAGCAAACCCATGCTCGCGCGACCCATTTCGAGAGAAATGCGACCACGCCGACACGCGAGCGTTGGAAATGGCTGTCGACTGGCGTCAGCGTGACTTGGAGGTGACAGGATCGAGCTGCTGCCTGTCATCTGTCGTCAGCTACAAGGTGGGACTGATTTCGGATTCTAGCATCACTTCTGTCTGTCTGTCCTTCTGATGAAGTCAGGTGGATTGGAAATGTCACATTCTGCTGCTGCATGAGTCATGCAATTCGGCTGAGTGAGAGCTACGCGCTAAAACGGTTCTTGATACAGAGTACAAAATCTGAAACGAAAAATAGTCAATTAACACACTTACTGGGAAGTCTCCACCACAGTTTCACACCAGCTTTATAGTTTTACAAAGATTTCGAACATCAGTGTACAGATTTTGAATGAATGTGATTCGTCTGATTAACTCTGTGTACACCTCCTATCTTATACCTATTTTATAACACCAACACACCTCAGCGCTAACAGTCCACAACAATAATCCGATCCCATCCACATACATCTTGAAGGATGAGAAAAATATCATTGTTCTATGTACCGTACTTCATTTTGATTGCTGTGTTCATTATCTGGAGACTTCGATTGTTCATTATTATGCATTTTTTTTTTTACCTGAAATAGACTTGCTGGTTGAATTCACCATTCTGACTCCAATCTCAACCCTCCAGCGTTCCCAATGTCGAAGCTTCGCTACTGAACCTGCCTTCCTTCAAGTGCGCAAGGCACAGCGCCACCACCCTTAGGCATTTTAGGGAATGGGAGTACCGCAGAGATTCGTCGGCGCTCCGATTGCGATCGGGCAGGCGAAATTTATCGTTTCATGGCGAAAGAAGCTCTGCTAGGGCGCAACGGAAAAAAATATGTCGGGGCAAGACAAGTGGATAGGGAGGGGGAAAGATATTACGCTGTGTGTGGGAGACGGATATAAGTAGAACAAGGCTGAGTGTGTGAGGGAGAGGGAGAGAGGAGACGAACAAGGCTGGGTGTGTGTGAGGAGGCACACTAACGCCGCGTTTAGTGGAAGTGTCATCCCTGCGCTATGTGAGAACTTAGAGCATGCTATGCTGCCATGAGTTGATTGACACACCTGAACCTCATCAGAGCACACCTGCAGCTCATCAACACTCACCTCAAGTTCATGAAAACTCACCTGAAGTGAAGCTCTTCAGCAGGGATGGAGCCGAAGCGAGTCAGGGCTTCCCTCAGGTCATTCTCAGATTTGATTTGCTCTCTGCTACTGCCAGCTCTGTCACCTGCGAGAAGTCCAAACAGAAATGAGGCCGATAGCCATTAAAATTTGATGATGTTAAAAGGACAGAGCCATCCCTGCTGCCAGCAGTGTCACTTGTGGTGTGAGATGGGACACATGTGAGGAGTGAGACTGAACAACCCGTATACAATGGTCGTGGACATAACACAAGGAAGAAACATGCAGTCCGCTGCTGCCAGCTCTGTCATCTGCAGTTAATGAATCTGCTCTGTCATCTGCAGTTAATGAATCTGCTCTTTCTCCCTGAGCACTTACAAACACCGCACGCATGCTGACCAAAGTGTTGCCTTTCTTTCCACCCCTACCACACAAACAAAGAATGGTACCCGTAGCACTCACAGACGCAGTAATCTAGAATGCTTCTTACCAGGCGACTGAGAACCCGACTTGGCTCACAATCCGATTCCGCTCCACATGGGAAGAGGTTTCCATCCCATATCTCCTTTCCCCTCTCCCTCTCCCCTCTTCCTCTCCCTCTCCCCTCTACCTCTCCTTCTCCCCTCTCCCTCTCCCCTCACCCTCTCCTCTCTCCCTCGTCCACTCTCATTAATCCCAGAACGTACCTTGATGCCTGCCTGCCTGCGTGCTTCAGCATACAACGCATCCCACGCCACTGCATCTACAGCTTCTCCTCCGCAGGCTGTAAGGGACAGGGAGGCAGGCAGCTGGGGAGATCACCCGAGCCGACCAGCGTTTCTCATGGATGGGCGTGAGGGGAGTGAGGGCGAGGAAGAGAGAGAGAAATATCGAGATGAACAGAGGGAAATATGGGGGTTGTGCAGCAGCGCGAGCACGTTTTTGTTGAATAATGGCGTCTGGCATGAAGAGAAAACAAGAGGAAGGGAATGAGGATGAGAAATAAAGGATTGTGAATGCATGAGAGGGAAAGACGAAGGTAATCAGGAAGAAAGCGAGGAAGAGAGCGAGGAAGCGAGTTGGCGGCGGGAAATACACAGGAAAGGAGAGAGTGGAACAGCTGAACACTTGGGGTGCAGCAGGTGAGGGGACACACTTCATGTCAATCACTAGATTTCTGGCACGCGAAACCGAAAGAAATAGTTACGCGGGAAGGAAAATAACGCAAAACGATGTACCTTGCAGGATGTGTAAAGGACCTCTGGGAGCTCGCATTCGCTCGATCCGCGATTCGATCCAGAACCTGCTGAAAGCGGCAAACCGTCTTTGAAATCCATCCTCAAGGCGGCGGCGGAGCGTACGAGCGCACGCGGGAGGCGCAAAAGCCGCCGCTTCCGCCGATTCTTCCGCCTTGCGATGAAGCCGTGATCGTTGCTTCGATAATACATTTCCAGCGATCGTGACTGCTGCAGCAAACCCATGCGCGACCCATTTCGAGAGAGCAGCGATTGCACCGTCACGCGAGCATTGGAAAATGGCTGCTGACTGGCGTCAGCGCGACTCGGAGGTGACGGGAACGAGCAGGCAAGGAAAGCTAGGTGTTGTGCCTCGCATGGACGCGGGAGTGATGCCAGATTTGGGGGAGGTTGTCTGATGAAAATGAAGTGGTGCACTTCGGCTGAGTGAGCGCAACGCGCAATGCGCAACCAGCGGGAGAGGAAAGCGAGCTGGTGCCTGAGGAGAATCAGTGGTGCAGTTCGGCTGAGTGAGTGCACCGCGCCAAAACAGTTCTTGCTAGTTATATCAGCGTTTAAAATTTTAACACCAACACAACTCAACCTCACACTTCACACAGCAGCAACCGTGCACAATCCATAAAATACGCATTCTAATGAAGGGTAAAAGATATCATGGTGTTTTAGTTTGCTGATTTTTTTTTCGCAGCAAATTTACAATCCTTCCGATTTTCAGGAAAATATATTGGTGTACAAATATGCATGAAATGGTATTGATGGTTGAAAATGCAGATAGTTTAGGACGAGGAGCTCCCTAGAGAGTACGAATTCGCCATTCTGATCTGACCTCGATCTCATCCCTGGAGCTCTCAGTTTCGGAGCTTCGCTGCCGAACCTGTCTTCCTTCGATTGCGGGAGGCACAGCGCCACCACCCTGGCATTTTCGGCAATAGGAGTACCCCAGACGTTCGTCAGCGCTTCGAGTGCGGTCGGGCAGGCGAAACTTATTATTTCATGCCGTCGACTTTGTAGGAATGGATCTCCGCTAGCGCGCAGCGGAAAACTTTCTGTCGGGGGCAGGAAACACGATAGAATCGGGGGTAGGGAAAGACAGATTCTTTCGCGTCGCTTACCCGCGAGGACCCTGTGCGAGAGTCGGTTCATTTTCGCGGTTTCAGTAAAGATCGCGCGGGGCAGCATGCCAGCGCACGGTTCCGAATTTTCGGAGGTGCTCAGGCAGCAACCGAGAACAGTTCCTCCTTTTTTTCGACACTCCCTCCTGTGAGTGTCCCCTCCACACAGCCTCCATCCCTCTCTCTCCTGTTGCTCGTCTCATCTTCAAATCCGACGCATAGAAGACTCATTTTCCAGAGTTTTTAATCCAGTTCCTTCTTGTTCTGTTGATTGAGCCATTTCCTAGCAAGTTCAGACCTCTTATTTCGTTCTTTATATCTCGCGGAACCTCTTTGCTCTTAGCGTTTAGCTTTGTTTTTACTCTCGCACACAAACTCGGTTAGCTTGATGGCCTGTTTTTCTGACTTTCCGTCCTTTGCTGAGCGTGTGGCCTTCTGGGAGAAATGCGGTATTCTGATCCGGATGAAGGGATATGCTCCTATCCGTGAATCCGCGGAATATCCTACCTTTGCAGAAGTTTTGAGCCTCTTCAAAAAACGGGCAGCGTTGCAGCAGGCGCAACGTCATGCTTGGATGCAGGCGCATGATGCTTATTTGGCCTCCTTAGCTCGTTATCCGGCTGCTGAGGAGGAGGACTCGTGGGTCATTTCTTCTGAGGACCACGAAGTTCCACAAGCGGAAGCAGAGGAGATTGCAGATGAGATTTTTTCCCTGTTTATGGCTGCAGAGGGCGACGGCTCTAAGAACGATTCCGGTCCAAGCAGCACCTGCAGCAGAGACAGCAGCTGCAGCAGTGGCTTCAGTGACAGCAGCTGCAGCAGTGGCTTCAGTGACAGCAGCTGCAGCAGTGGCTTCAGCGACAGCAGCTGCAGCAGTGGCTTCAGCGACAGCAGCTGCAGCAGTGGCTTCAGTGACAGCAGCAGCAGCGGTCAGAGCACCCAGGAGGAGCCTTCCACTTCAATGACCACTTCCAGTGCTGTCTACAGGTTTAACTGCTGCCACAGCAACAATCACGTCAATGGCTGCAGCGAGAGTGAGCTGATGTTGGATCTTGTGCTCCTGCTGAGCTCATCTGCAGCGAGTAAGAGTGTGGTCCTTGCTGTGAGTGCCGCATCACGGATGGGTGTGCTGGTTTCAGCCCAGAGCTTGGGGACGAGAACGCCTGCAGCCAGTTTAAGGCTGCTCCCCTCTCGGATTCCCACGGCTGGTAGCGAGGAAGCAGCAGCAGTGAACCCAGCTCTTGTGAAGGAACCAGCGTTGATTGCTCCTGATGGAGGCTTCAAGGCTCATGAGGACGGGTCAGCAGCAGCAGAACAAGGAACGCAGCAGCAGGATGGGGTTGGGCATGTGATGTGTGGAAAAAGGAAGGTTCCTTCATGTACCCTGGATACTCTTCCTGGTGGAGGCGTCAAGGAGGCTGTAGCAGCAGAGAGGAAGAAGCAGCAGGGAAGAGTGGGAGGTGGGGGGTGTGGAGTGAGGGAAGACTCTTCAGGAGCAGTATTGGCTGCTGCTCGTCCTGGTAGAGTTCTCACGGAATGGTCAGCAGCACAACGAAGTATGAGGCAGCAGGGTCGGGTGGGAGGTGGGAGATTTGGAGCGAGGGGGGTAGTGTCTTCAAGAGCTCTGGCTGGTGGTGGGCTCGAGAAGGGTTCAGCAGCAGCGCAGAGCAAGAGGCAGGGGGATCGGGTGGGAGGTGCGAAATCTGGAGGAAGGGAAGGTTCAGCAGCAGCAGTGCCGGTAGATTCACAAATGTTGGGTTCTCTTTCTGGTGGAGCTCTCAGGGAAGGGTCAGCATCAGCAGCACTGAGAAAGAGGCTGCAGGAGATTTGGAGCTTGTATCAATCCTTCAAGGATGGCAAGGGTAGCGGCAATAAGGCCTCCATGGAGGCCCTAAGGGATGATGTGCAGAGATTTTTAGCTAAACTGTTTAGTTGTAGATTTGTACAAATATTTTAGCTTTTAACTTGATGTATGCATTGTTGTGTTTAGGGTTTCTTAGCTCGGTCACAGTTGTATATGCCTGGCAGTATGGCAAGAGGTTTCTACTCATATTTGTCCTCTTCAAAAATGTGACATGTTTATTGTGCATGCAGCATTAGCAACCACCAGTGACAATATCTTGCTTGAATCCGTTCTTACAGCACCTCACTAGTCACAGCAACATCAGTGGCCTAGAAAGACCTCATGTTTACTACTGTGAATGTGAGGTGTAGAAAATAAGAGAATAATGTTACAGAGCACACAACACAACACACACGACCTGGCTAATGCTCACAGACATGCAATCATGGGCCATGACCTGCATCTCGATTTCCGTTATTCCAAAGTCCACTCATGGATGAGCACGTTGCAACAGACAGAGCCCAGGCACAGGTCCCTCTGATTCGTCCCATTCTGGTCCATTTTCACACACTGGATGCACCGTGCTCAACCCCTGCTGCTTCATTACAACGGTCGGATCCATTTACTAGAAAGTAACTTGTTCACACAGGAACCGGCCCGAGGCATTGACTAGAAAAGGACTTGATCACAGCGGCCGGAGGCGAGGGAAGTCAACAAGTAGGTCGCGCTCCGTGAGCGTGTCCTCGTCGTCCTGAGGCGTCCACAGCACCTCCACCGCCTGGCAAGGGAGAGGGGACGGAAGAGGGACAAGTGAGATTGAGGAAGTGGGAGGGGGAATTGAGGGAAGTCAACTAGCAGGTCCCGCTCCGTGAGAGTGTCCTCATCGTCTTGGGGTGTCCAGAGCACCCCCACCGCCTGGCAAGGGCGAGGGGACGAAGTGAGAGGGAACAGGGGTGGGGGGAGGAGAATTAACACACAGTTCCAACTCCATGAGAGTGTCCTCATCATCCTGTGGCGTCCACAGCACCTCCACCGCCTGGATGGGGAGGGAGAAAGAAGGCATTTCTTATGGAAGAATAAGGGAGAGCGATGGAGTGTGAGAAGGGGCTGGGAGGGATTGTAAGTCATGTTCCACTCCGTGAGAGCGTACTCGTCATCCTACGAGGCCCAGAGCACCTCCACCGCTGGGAAGACAGGCAGGGAGGGTAAGCGTGAGAAAAGTGGGGGGAAGTGCTCATGTCATGTCCAGCTCCGTGAGAGTGCCCTCGTCATCCTAGGAGGCCCAGAGCACCTCCACTGCCTGGATGGGGGGGAAGGAAAGGGAAAGTCAAGAAACGCGGGGAGGGGGAATGTTATACAGTAGGGCTGTGCGTGGGAGGGAGAGGATGGAAAAAGTACACGTAGCCTCGTTCCATGGGAGTGTTATCGCCGTATAGAAGAATTGCGAGGCAGGCTAAGCTGCCACAAATTGAATGGCATACCTGAAGCTCATCAAAATCACCTGAAGCTCAACAGAGCTCCCCTGAAGCTCATTCGAACACACCTGAACTCATGGAAATTCACCTGAAGCTCAGTTGAACACACCTGAACATGGAAATTCACCTGAAGCTCATCAGCAGGGACAGAGCCGAGGCGAGTCAGGGCTTCCCTCAAGTCACTCGAAGATTTGATTTCCGGCAGCTTGAACGTGCCCTCTGCTGCTGCCAGCACTGTCACCTGCAAGTTTGTGCACATGTGGTGTGAGGAAGAATGGGATTGGTTAGCAAAAAGTCAGAATTGGTCGCAGAAAAAACACAAGGTAAGGATTGGTGTGAGGGACCAAAGTGCCCTCTGCTGCTGCCAGCATTGTCAGTGGCACCGGCAAAAGGTAAGGAGGAGTGCGATTGAGCATCCTGCCATAATTGGCGTGATGGAGACATCGTAAGAGCGGAAAGCTCCCTCTGCTGCTGCCAGCACTGTGACCTGCGGTGAGCTGGCACAAACTCCACATACCACAATGTACACTCCCCCTCAACATACCACAATGTACACTCCCCCTCAACATACCACAATGTACACTCCCCCTCAACATACCACAATGTACACTCCCCCTCAACATACCACAATGTACACTCCCCCTCAACATACCACAATGTACACTCCCCCTCAACATACCACAATGTACACTCCCCCTCAACATACCACAATGTACACTCCCCCTCAACATACCACAATGTACACTCCCCCTCAACATACCACAATGTACACTCCCCCTCAACATACCACAATGTACACTCCCCCTCAACATACCACAATGTACACTCCCCCTCAACATACCACAATGTACACTCCCCCTCAACATACCACAATGTACACTCCCCCTCAACATACCACAATGTACACTCCCCCTCAACATACCACAATGTACACCCCCCCCCAACATACCACAATGTACACTCCCCCTCAACATACCACATTGTACACCCCCCCCCAACATACCACAATGTACACTCCCCCTCAACATACCACAATGTACACTCCCCCTCAACATACCACATTGTACACCCTCCCTCAACATACCACAATGTACACTCCCCCTCAACATACCACAATGCACTCCCCTCTCAGCATACCACAATGCACTCCCTCTCCGCATACCACGATGTATTCAGAGTTCATGCGGTCCTGGCTGGCCTCTCACAACTCCACATACCACAGTGTACACTCCACATACCACAACGCGGCATACCACAAGCATTCGAAATTTAACTCCACATACCACGATGTATTCGGAGTTGAAGCGATCCTGGCTGGGCTTGCACAACTCTACATACCACAGTGTACACTCAACATCCCACAGAGTAAGACCCTACATACACTCCACCTACCACAATGCACTCCCTCTCAGCATACCACGATGTATTCGGAGTTAAAGCGATCCTGGCTGGGCTTGCGCGTGATTCGCCGCCTGATTCCATCCACGTTCACCAGAGTCTCCTCCTTGAACTTGCTGCGCTCCTCCATGCTCATGCGGTTGAAAGCAGCCTCGCCAGCATACGAGTCGTTGTTCATCTCTGACTGAATTGTTGGGATTGGTGAAAAGGGCGAGGTGTGGGGGAAGGGGAAGGGGGGCGGGTGGGTTGAGGGGAACAATAGTCTCCTCCTTGAACTTGCTCCTCTCTTCCATGCTCATGCGGTTGAAAGCTGCCTCTCCCGCATATGAGTCATTGTTCACCTCTGACTGAAGGGTTGGGAATGGTGGAAAGGGAGGAGGGGGTGGGGGGTTGGTGAAGAACAAGAGTCTCCTCCTTGAACTTGCTGCGCTCCTCCATGCTCATGCGGTTGAAAGCTGCCTCTCCCGCGTATGAGTCGTTGTTGACCTCTGACTGTTGGGAGATGGGGGGAGGGAACGAAGAAAACAAAAGGGTTCGTCTTGTAACTTGCGCATGCTTCTCATGCCCATAGGGTTGAGGATAAAGGGAGCAAGTGCTTGCTCCTTGAACTTGCTCCGCTCCTCCATGCTCGTGCGGTTGAACGCTGCCTCTCCACCATACGACTCGTTGTTCACTTCTGACTGTACAGTTGGGAGATAGGGGGGGGAGCGGGAAGGGGGACGGTAACAAGTAGTCTCTACTTCAATTTGTTCTTCCTCCCAAAGGTGTGGCTGTGAGCTCATGAAAGTAAGGGAGGGGTGAAGGAGGGTTGTTGTGGGTGGAAGGAGAGGGAGATGGAGGGAAAACTGGTGGGAGCAAGGAGCATGTACCACTCTAAAACAAATGTGGATGGACACAAATGTGCTGCCTTCTGGGGTCACAAGTGGTTTTCACTAAGTTCCGCAGTACCTAAGGAGGAGAAGTCCGGGTTCCGCAGATGCAACAGTCCGGGCTGCTACTTACTAGGTCCTAAGCTAAAGCACTCAACTACTAAAGCACCTAACTCAGGACACACGTGGTTCCCAGCACTTACAGAGGAGAAGCCGTAGATGCAGTAGTCCGGGTTGCGCAGCAGCGCCAGCACCGTCTCTGTTGAATGGAAAGGGAATGAGAAGGAACGAGAGAAACAGATAGAGGAAGCGAGTGAGCGGCAGAGAATGTGACGAGAATGCGCAGCAGCGCCAGCACCGTCTCTATTGAATGGGCAAATCCGACGGGTGGCATGCAGAAACACAAGTGGAAGAGACGAAGGAAGGGATTGAGGAGGAGAGAGAAAGCTAATGAGCGGCAGGAAAGAGAAACAGCAAAGCATGAGTAAAATAACTACAACACATTCCAAATCAATAGATACTGTACCTTGCAGGATGTAATGAAGGCCCTCCGGTGAGCTCGCATCCGCGCGATCCGCGATCCGATCCAGATCCCACTGCAGGCGCCTCGCCGAGCCTAGCAACCCGACCTGCAGCCTCACCACGCTGCTACGCTGCGTCTCCTGCCACACTCCCTCCTCCTGCGTCGAGCTCACAAACCCCATAACTGACTGCGACACGAACCAGACCACGATCCCGATTACGAGGAGATTGAAGATGCCACCGCCGCCGCCGCCGTAGGCGATGGAGGGACCGAAGAAGAAGAACGGGGAGGGCGCGAAGAACGGGACGGACGGGCCGACGATCACGGGGGGAGCATTGTAGGAGTATCCGCCGCCGCGGGGTGCGGAGGGGGGTGGGGCGTAGGAGCGCATGCGAGAGGCGCCGAAGCCGCTTCCGCCGATTCTTCCGCCGCCCATCGCGGCGAGTGCGGCGTCCGGAGCGCCGGCGGCGAGGACGGCGGAGATTAGGAGCGCGGCGAGCGCTGGCTTGACCGCGGCTTTAAGAGCGTTGAGGAGAGAAGTCTTTGCTTCAGTTAACGACGACGGAAGGCTCGGAAGTTGCTGCGAAGCCGGAAGTGACTCGTCTGCAGGGGACCTTTGAGGAGAGGAGGAGGAAGGAGCCTGAGCATTTACAACGACGCTGCACCTTTGACGGGAAAACGGCTGCGCGGGTGTGGTTCTAGAAGAGGTAAGCTTGCGTGGCAGCGGTACTAGGGTTGAGGCGAGAGAGGCGCAGCGCGGCTTGTTGGAACTGAGCCGAGGCGCGAGCAGGCCACTCGAGGTCGACGAGCTACCTTGAAGCGCGACGGCAGACGCCATGGCCGAAGGTTGGAAAGCGCGGGACTGGTGTTAGTACCACGACAAGCTCCAGCAGTAAGGACGATTAAAACCCGGGGTCCAAGAGTTTCAAAGTTAGGAAGGTTGGTTGGGACTTCAAATACAATTGGATGAGAGGAGGTTGGGTTCCCGACACCCAACCAAAGTTAGGAAGGTCGAGGCAATTTTGGGCTGTTTGGGACTCCGGTAATAAAGATATGACTGAAGCCTGGAACAACCTCGAGAATGCCGAGAGTGAGATGCAGCTCGGAGATGCTTTCTACGGTATCTGCCTGTGATGCTTGTTTAGAGATTGGCTGCTGGCTTTATTGCGCGACTCGACGGTTTTCAAATTTGTGTCAAACCTGTCGACCACTCGTGCACCACGTCAGCACAAATTAGAATTCCATAAATCCCGTGGACCCTACATGCGGTTGCGCGATAATAGTTCTAAGTTAGTGGGTTGTCTCTTTTGAGTAACTATACGAAGTAACTGTGAAAATGAACGAGGAATGAAAAGACTAAGGGAAAGTTGGGTACAAGTACAAACCCTAGAAAGCTGTACCCCATATGTGCTACCCCACTATAGCCTACAGCAGCTAAGTCATATAAATCTGACACACCCCCATAGGCAAAGTGGGGGAGGACAAGGGGTCACAAGACCAGTCAAGCAAAGCAAAGCAAGCTCAGGGTGGATCACAACGTCACCACACATTCCGAGCACAAGTTCAAGGCCACAAGGCCAGTTCACATGCAGGATTACATATATATATAAGGCTAAACAAGCAAGAGCAGGTGTATATATATATGTAACAGTACAAACAAGGTCAAGGGGTGAGCAAGTGAGGCAAGGTAGGCACAAGACCCAGCTGAGTAAAGAAGCGCTGATGATCACAAGGCGCAAGTGCCTTGGTGAAGATATCAGCAGTGTTGGCCTGAGAGGCCACGTACGCAAGGCGTAGCTGACCACGCTGCTGTAGCTCACGAGCAAGGAAGTAGCGAAGAGCAATGTGCTTCGTTCTGTGCTCCAGTCTCTGCTCCCGACACAAGGCCAGCATGGCCTTGTTGTCTACGTACAGCACTGGAGGAGAACGAGGCGGCTCTCCGAGGTCAGTCAGCAGGTAGGTGAGCCAGCGAAGCTCCTGTGCAGCCATGGCCCCTGCGTAGATCTCAGCCTCACAACTGGAGCCGAGAACAGAAGACGAGCGGGTAGCCCGCCACGAGACAGAGCCGGAACCAAGGCTGAAGGTGTAACCCTGTGACGACCGCTGCGTAGCCTGGTCGTCAGCCCAAGAAGCGTCTGCGTGCCCAGTGAGGACCACTGGACTCTGCCCTCCAAGCACAAGCCCCATGCCCGACGTACTGCACAAGTAGCGCAACACCCTCTTCGCTGCAGCCATGTGCTCCGGTCTGTGTCTCCCAGGAGCAACATAGCGTGCGAGAATGCTAAGAGGGTATGCAAGGTCAGGTCGAGTGCAGGTCATCAGGTACATGAGGCAGCCAACAAGCTCTGGGTACGGGCCACTCGACTCTACGGACTCATCCGAAGGCAGAGCTGAGAGCGAGTGGCGAGTAGGCAGAGGAGTGGCCTGAGGCGAGGAGTACGTGAAGCCGAAGCGCTGAAGGACCTGCTGCACCATGTGTGACTGAGTCAGGGTAATGGTGCGGCGTGCTCTGTCCCGGGTGATCTGCAAGCCAAGGTAGCTGCGCAGTTCACCCAGGTCTGTGCACGTGTGTCTCTTCTGCAGCTCGGACTTCACGTGGGCGAGTCCAGCAGTGTCAGTTGTGGCAAAGACCAAGTCGTCGACGTACACGAGGATGTAGAACGGCGGCAAAGAAGTGTCGGTGCGCAGAAACAGCGACGGGTCGGCAGTAGAGGGAGCAAACCCAAGAGCCGCAAGCGTAGTCCTCAGTGTGTCGTGCCACTCACGCGGTGCCTGGCGGAGACCGTAGACTGGCCGCCGGAGGCTCCACTGGGTGCCAGGAGGAAAAGTCCCAGTGAAGCCAAGTGGGCGGCGCAGCCAGATCTCCTCGTGCAGGCTGCCCTGCAAGAAAGCAGTGCTGAAGTCAAGAGAGTGTAGCTCGTAGTCACGGTGAGCAGCTATGTGCAGCAGTACCCGAAGAGTGGTCATCTTCGGGGTGGGAGAGAAGGTCTGAAAGTAGTCAACTCCCTGCCGCTGACTGAAGCCACGAGCCACGTAACGCGCCTTGAAGACAGGCGGAGAACCCGGCGGCCGCTTCACCCTGAAAATCCACATGCCACTGACGATGTTCGCCCCAGGCGGGGGAACCTCGTCAACGTAGGTGCCTGTGGACTTCCAGGAAGCCATCTCTGCGTCCATAGCTGCCTGCCACTGAGAGGAGTAGGGACCCTCTATCGCCTCCACGTAAGAGCGCGGAGTCGGGATGTCAAGTGCATCCGGGTCTCCCTCAGGGGTAAGCAGTACGGACACGAGATGAGGTGAAGCAGCAGCCAAACACTGGAACTCCTCCTGTCTGTCCTCAAGGACGTCCGTGCCAAGGGCACACTCACCCCCGACGGACGGAGGACAGACAGACTCAGACGCAGCAACAAGACTAGCAGCGTAGTCTAGACGACAGCGAGCAGCAAAGTCGACGAGCTCAGCAACTAGGGCAGACGCAGCAGTGGACTCAAAGGAAGGGTCAGTGACAACAGTAGCAAGGAGACGCGTGACAGTCGGACTGGCAGCACGAAGGGAGTCCGACTCCAGGTCAGCAAGAGCAGGAAGAGAGGACTCAGGAGGAGAAGGCAAAGGGGCACGCAGAGGAGCAGTGGACGGACGGAGAGACATCCGGTGCGTGCCGGGCACAGGGGGAGGACGCTGACGCGAACCACGAACACTAGCGCGAGCAGCACGGACAGGCGACGCAGGACGAGACGCAGGCTCACGACGCTCAGCAAGACCTCCAGTAGGACCAGTGTAGGGAGAAGGAGCAGGCAGTGGGGAGGCCGGCTGTAACTGTAACTGTGACGGGACAGGCTGTGGACACTCTAAGGGAGGAGGAGGACCAGTAGAAGGCGGGAGACCAAGAACCTGCTCAAGAAGCGGAACGAAGTACGGCCGAGGCCGCGCAGCGACTCCAGACACAGCAGGGACAGCACCAGTACCCCCAGTGGTAGCACCAGCGCCAGCAGCACCTCCAGCTCCAGTACCCCCAGCAGCACCAGTAGCACCCCCAGCAGGACCGCCTCCAGTACCGCCAGCAGTACCCTCAGCGCCAACACCCTCAGCAGCTCCAGCTCCAGTAGTACCCGCAGGCCCAGCAGCTCCAGTACTCCCAGTACGAGCACCTCCGGGACCCGTGGCACCAGCACCCTCAGCAGCCGAAGAACCTCCAGCTCCAGCAGCACGCCTCCAGCGCCGGGCAAACCACTCACGCACCTCCTGTGGAGAGAGTGGCTCCCGTCGAGACGGAGCACCCAGAGAACCTCCAGGCCCAGCACCGCCAGACACCACACGAGCAGGCCCAGCTCCCTCAGGCTCCGCACCCCCAGGCTCAGCACCTCCAGGCGTAGTACCCCCAGGCTCAGCACCCCCAGTCGTAGCACCCCCAGGCTCAGCACCCCCAGACTCAGCACCCCCAGGCTCAGCACCCCCAGTCGTAGCACCCTCAGGCTCAGCACCCCCAGGCTCAGCACCCCCAGGCGTAGCACCCACACGCTCAGCACCCCCAGAGTCAGCACCCCCAGGCTCAGCACCCCCAGCAGCACCAGAGTCACCAGCGACCTCCACAGGCTCGACTGCGTCTACCTGGGACACACCTGAAGGGGCAGGACCCTGAGGGGGAAGGGGGTCTACCGGGGGGGGACCTGGCACAAGGAAGAGCGGAGGCGGGGGGAGGGACGGAGTGCGGTAGGGGAAGAGACGGTAGTAGGGGACCGACTCGTCAAACGTGACGTCCTGGGAGGACAAGACACGGCGAGAGGTGGGGTGGTAGAACTGCCACCCTGGCGCGTCAGGGGGGAAGCCAAGGAAGACGCAGGGAGCAGCACGAGGGGACAGCTTGTCCGCAGACAAGTCGCGGACAAACGCCCGAGATCCCCAGACACGGAACGCAGACGCATCGCCAACCTTCCCCGTCCACAGCAAAGCTGGGGAGGTCTCCGGCATGGAGACCCTGGGCTGAAGGCTGATCTGATGCGCCGCGTACCGAACCGCAAACGGCCACAGAAAATGGGGGGCAGCCGCATGCATCATGGACGTACGGGCGACGTCCATGACCATGCCAATGCGGCGCTCAGCAATCCCATTTTGCTGTGGAGAGTCCGGAAGCGTGAAGGTCTGGCGGATGCCTCGTGCACGACAGTAGGCTCGCAGAAGGCCAGAGGAGAACTCTCCGCCTCTGTCAGAGTGCAGACGCAGAACAGGAAAGTCCGAGCCGAAACTCTCTCTGAGCTGGAGACGAGCTGCGCGGATCCAGTCGATCAACACCTCAGTGACATCACCCTTGCTGCGCAAGGGGAAGACTGTGGTGTAACGCGAGTAGTCGTCAACCACCAGCAGGAAGTAGCGCTCGTGACCCTGTCCACGGACGCGGGCCGGGCCCCACACGTCCATGTGAAGCGTCTGCAGCGGGGCCTCTGTCGGAGGAAACTGGGAGGAGTGAGGGGCAGCACGCTGCCGCCCCTCGACACAGGGGACGCAGGTAGGGGCAGGCCCCGGAGGAAGGGGAGGGAGGGACCGGGGAAGACCAGAGACAAGGACACGGGAGGCCATGCCTCGGAGACGAGGCAGGGAGGGGTGACCAAGGCGGTGGTGCCAGAGGAGAGTCTCGTGAGACAGGAGGCGACACGAGCAGGGGGCAGACTCAGGACCAGACCTGGACGCTGCAGCAAACACCTGACCCGACGCAGCTGCCTGACCAGACGCAGTGACTGGAGGAGACTCAGTGGTCAGTGTGTACAGGCTCGACCCCGGCCGACGTGTAAACGTGGCCAAGTGTCGGCCCGTCCGAGCGTCCGTGCAGTGGGTCACACGCTG